TGGGAGTTGAAGTCCACAAGTCTTCAAGTTGCCAAGGTTGGACACCCCTGACGTAGATGTTAAACCATTTGGCAAAGGACCGAGTCCTACATCGTACAGAATGCCTATGAACTCAACCGCTCACACACACATACACCCGCCCCCAATGATCAGACTGGAACCCCAGGATTTAACTCAAAACAGTGCTTCCCATTCCCAACCCCTGCAAAATCCCAGTTTGGTTCCAAAGCATCCTCAGTCAAAACTATCCAGGACAGTTTCAGTCCCCTTCGAAGCGTGACTGAAAGGGATGCTTTCACCCAGCATTCTTTGCGGAAGCAGCACTTCTACCGCCTCCTCCAATACTTTCCCCAATTAGGAAAACCTAGATAGGACTCTCATCTGAGCAAACCAGAGTTTTTATTTTCTTTTTTTTGCCATATCCCAGCTTGGAGAGTATGTTTCATGCTATCAATATCATTCTGGGTGAAAAAAGAATCCACCCTCCCCCCCACACAAAAAAATCCAAGTTCAAACTGTTCAATGGCCAAAAACGGGAGTGAGGAAAAGTATACAATTCCCTACTTTTCTTCCCAACTTCCCAACGGGTCCTGTGTGTTTCCAGAGACTGACTGATCTACTGCCAAAACTACTAAGTTACCTCACCCCTAGGGAAGCAGGGAGGGCTCCAGTCTAAGAAGACAGGCAAGCAAATGACCTCATTTCCCTTGCATCATTTCCCAGGTGGCCGAGCTCTCTGGGCAAATACAGCAAATGCGGGAAGGCCTGTACTCTCTGCGCCAGGCTGTCCAGCTCTTCCTTCTCTCCCAGACATCAGCCCAGCAACGCGTTGATCCATCTGCCTGTGGGCCTTTCCCCCATCCAGATGCTCCTACGACGCCTCTGCTGAGCCCCCTCCGGGTTGACACAGGCCTTTCGCCAGCTTTCTGCTCCCACAGTGCACCGCAAGCATCATGCCCGAATGGAGCCTGTGGCAAAGTTCAGTGGATGTGGGCCCCTCCAGCGGGGCAGAGCTCACCCTGGCCTGGCACGTTTTGGACCCTGGGACGCCAAGCAAGGGATTCTGAGGCAGGAGTGTTTTCACCCTCTGGTCACGGTCCCAAGGACCAAGGGAACAACACACCGATGCCAAACCTGAGCCAAAGAGAGAGCTCTCTGCCCCAAGCTTGCTCCGCCACAGATCCAGCGTACCATACAAGCTCTCCAGAAACCAAACCTTCTAGGACTCAAGACTGTGATTCCTCCAGCCTTGAGATGGTGCTGATTGGTGCTGGGGATGATGGTTCTACCTGCAGTGGGCCCTGCTGGATAGAGGAAGAAGGGACGGGGATATGAGTATGCTGAGCACAACTGATTACACAAAACCCAGGCCCTGGGATTTTTCCATCCTGGGAATATCAAGGGTTAGCCCTTGTCTTATGGGACCGGATGCTCTCCCATGTGAGGGGACAGAGAACACAACAGAGAAAGGTTACGATCAGCTCTTCCAAGGTTGAGAGAGAGAGTTGCAATTGTTCTCAGGACGGAGACAGAAGAAAAAGACAGCAAACGCCACAAAACAAGGCACCTTTCGTCTTGGCAAAAGTAGAAAGCGGCAAGCTGCTGTGAAAGAGTTTCTACCAGCAAAGGCCAAAACCTGGGCCATCGGAGTGGGTTATATGGGCTAGGGAATATATCCATGCGTCACAGCTTGAAATATGCAAATGTACCCATATTTGTACCTGACTCCATTTTAGATACTCTTCCTTCAGGCAGCTGGGTTGTTAGGCATTGCAGTGGGGATAGGGAGTGGACTTGGAGTGGAAACTCCCCCTGAGCATGTAATTTTCAAATGGGAAGGCAGGTCCAAGACTTCCCCCAGCCCTAAGTAAGAGTGATGCTGGGCACCCTTTTTATAAAATAAAAAGTATGTTTTGAACTCTGACTGTTTAATTTATGAGCTGCTGTGGCTCAGATGTTGTCCTTAATGAGGCTCGCGAGCGACCTTTCCCAAAAGCTAAATCACGGTATGTAGAACCACTGCCAACAGTGAAATGAAAATCACGAACTTCAGTTGTAAAACACACGGAAAAGGAGATTCTGCAATAAACTTCACTGCCAGATCAACGGAGGCCACCAGCCAGTCTGCACTGTTGCACCAGAAATTTTAATGGACACAAAAGTTAGATATTTTTTTTTAAAAAGCTAGCAATGCAAAGGCTGCATTTTAAATAATTAGGATTTACTTCCATTTTTGTCATTCTTTTAAAACCCCCAAACAATCGAACTATGACTGACAACACTCTGGTAAGATATACAGTTAACTTACAGGCAAGGATGTGCTTGCACTTAGGAGGCAAGTGCCAAAAGCTAAAATAGCTCATTAGTCTGTCAACACCCCTGTTAAGTAGTAATATTGTACCACGTAAGCAGATAGGAACAGATGGACCTCTATTTTTACAACCAACCTTATTTGGAATAAATCATTCTTTTTTTCACACCCAAGGAACTGAGATTAAAATAATGGATACCTTAAAAAACTGACATCTAGAAATGGCACTAACACAGCACAGAACGAGAGGACTGATCAACTGTTATATTAGCTTGACCTTGGCTCTCGCCGCATCCAGTCCTGAAAAATTTCATCACTCTGTCCCAAAGAGAGTGAAGCGCAAGAGTCAGTAGAAGCAGTAAGTCGTTTCTCACCCAACCCGGCAAAAGGTTCCTGTTAGCCAAAGGGCTGTGTTTAAGTCTCTCTACTCACACCCACCCCTTCTCTCACGCATGAAACAGAGTTCCTCTATGCTAACAACAACAACAACAACGAAGAGCCAGGATGGCTTTTGTGTCCTAATCTCAAAGGAGGCAAACTGGAGGAAGCTGCATCAAGCAGCAAAGAAAACAGCAGTCCCTGCTGGAGGCAGGAGGAGCGGAGTGGGGTTGGGTGGGGTGTCCTTTGGTTCGATCCAAGCCTCAGGGCTGGGCAATTTTGGCAGCTTCTGCCTTGATAAGAGCAATCAGATCTTGGTTGATGAGGAAAACAAAGCGCAAGCTGGCAATCTGGAAAGAGAGGGAGGGAGGGAGAAGAGAATCAAATCAGTTTGTTCATATATATTCTGCTTTCGCACCCAATTAAGACATGAGCCACCTTGAGGAAGTTTTTCTACCAGTGTGGAGATCTGCAATGGAAGCTAACTAGAAGGTTCTTGGCCTAAAGTAACTCATGTGTCCTCCTTCCTGACCAGGCTCTTATTATGAGCCAGCCCTCCATTTAAGGCAGCCTCAGTTTTGGTCACCATGATGTAAAAACAAGATGTTGAGACTCTAGAAAGAGTGCAAAGAAGAGCAACAAAGATAATTAGGGGACTTGAGGCTAAAACATATAAAGAACGGTTGCTGGAACTGGGTATGTCCAGTCTGATGAAAAGAAGGGGCTGCCACAAAGAAGAGGGAGTCAAGCTATTATCCAAATCACCTGAAGGCAGGACAAGAAGCAGTAGATGGAAACTAATCAAAGAGAGAAGCAAATTAAAACTAAGGAGAAATTTCCTGGCAGTTAGAACAATTGATCAGTGGAACTGCTTGTCTCCAGAAGTTGTAAATGCTCCAACACTGAAATTTTTAAAGAGATTGGACAACCATTTGACTGAAGTGATGTAGGGTTTCCTGTCTAACCAAAGGGTTGGACTAAACGACCTCCAAGGTCCCTTCCAACTCTGTTATTCTATTCTAATTCTAATTCTAATTCTAATTCTAATTCTAATTCTAATTCTAATTCTAATTCTAATTCTATTCTATTCTATTCTATTCTATTCCCCATCTGAGAGCTACAGTCCTAACCCCTCTGAAGGTGCCATGCTCATGAAAGCTGACAGTAACTGGGCTCAACTGCGTCCATGCAGATAGGCTGTAAGCATGGTGTAGACCCACGGGTAATTTGCCCTGGCTTTTATAACTAAATTTACAGCAATATTTATATTCTGGCCACTTCAAATAATTCTAAGCAGTTCAACGTTTAAAAAATACACAGGTAAGGCAGAACAATATGCCGATATAAAGTTCTCAGTGCTTTAGTATAGTTAAGTGCACAAAACCAAATTAAAAAAATAATACAAGAATAAAAACTACAGATTCAGCATCAATTAGCAAGAAATGCTATTTAATTTAATCTGAGCTCCAAATTCCCAGTTTTCCCACTCTCTCAAAAGAAAACAGGACTGGACCACGATCCTACAGGCAAGAAGACAATATCTAACTCAAACTGCTCACCTCAACCACAGAGTTATTGCTGAGTTTCCACTTGCTGCCACAGAGCACTGGCCGTCCATCAACATAAATGGGCCGTCGGCCTTCATTGGCCAAGAAAAAGTCCCCATTGTTCTTCAGCTTGATGACACCTATGGGAATTGAAATTAGAATTCTTTTATTGGCCAAGTGTGATTGGACTTTGTCTTTGGTGCAAATGCTCTCAATGTACATAAAAGAAAAGATACATTCGTCAAGAGTCAAGAATCATCAGGTACAACACTTAATGATAGTCA